CGTATGGGGATACCTAAAAGTGATGAATTTAGGGTCCATCCCGGAGTCCCCTTCTGCTTTCAGCTGCTCCCAGGCTGCTGGAGGGTGTCCTGTGCTGACACCATCTCCTCCATCTCCACAGGCATTGGAACAACCCTGGGCAACCTGATCATCTCCAGCATCAGGAGCAGCATCAACGAGGCAGTGGGATCCCTCCAGAACCTGCTGGAAGGTAGCGGCCCTGTCTCCAGCTGCTGGTGGCCAGGCAGCTGGCATGCTCCATGGGGACCCTGGGGACCCAGGGGGGAGAGCCCCCAGCAGCTTTGGATATGGCCCCCAGGAGGGACCTGAGCCTTTGCTGTCTCCCCCAGTCATGGAGTCACTGGCCATCGCCTTTGGTGGCATCAAGGGCACGAGCTCGCGCCTGCAGGAGCTGCAGAGCAACTATAGCCAGAAGCTGGAGGAGCTGCGGGCCAGCATCAATCGAACGGTGCAGGCCTGCGGGCACCGCTGCAGCAACGTGTCCCTGGAGGGCCTCGGCTTCACGGCCAACTTCAGTGCGGTGAGCAAGGCTGGGGCATCTGCCACCACGTGACGTGGGCACTGGGGCTGCATGGGACCCTGTGCCCACCCCACGCCCCCAGTTACCCCCAGATTTTCCCCTCAGATCCCCAGTGTGGACCAGCAGCTGAAGGCCTTGGGAGAAGTGTCTGACTCCAACCTGGTGGCCAGTTTGGAGAAGGTGACGGGTCCCTCCTGCCCGGGCATGGGGCTGAGTGCTCGTGGTACTGGAGCAGTGCTGCGGTGGGCAGCCCCTCCAACAGCACCATGCAGCTGCATGGAGGCACGGGCTGGCTGCAGAGCAGACCTGCCCATTTTGTGCCTGCCCAAGGTGTCCTCTGGTGCAACGTGGCTGTTTGGACCTGCCTGGGCTCGGCCTCCTTGCACGGCCAGTTTGCCTGGGTCGGTGCCCGCCTGCTGTCCTCACCATGCCAAGGGCTGCAGGGAGCCTGGCTGTCCAGGGACAGCGCGGACTGGGAGGGCTGGGGTTTGCTCAGCCCTGTGCTCCGTCAGGGACACGAGCTGTCCCCCTCTGGCCTCAGGTTAACCACACGCTGAACGAGACCCCTGAGAAGGTGCACAAGCAGTCCCGGGAGGTGGTGACAAGTAAGCGGGGCTCTGTGCCTGGTGTGCCCAGCTCTGCTGGCTCCCTTCTCTCCCCTTCTCACCGCATCCCTACTCGGGGACCTCCCCTGCTGCCACCCTGCTGCTGCAGCCTGGCATCCTGCATCCTAAGTGCCTAGAGCCAACCCCTTTCCTGGCCACGGCCACCTCCGTCCCCTCCTCATCCCTCCCAGGGTCCCAGATGCCAGCGCCAACCCCTCCCTGTCCCCGCAGGGGTCCAGGACCAGCTGGGCCAGATCAGGCGGGAGATCAGCAACATGCCCAAGCGCATCCCGGTCGAGGACTTGGAGGGCCGCAGCGTGGCTTTTCTGGACAGCACCACGTCCACGCTGGAGAGCTACCGAGAGCCAGTGACCACCTTCGAGAAGCTCAGGTAAGTGGCCCCTGGCACTGCTCTGCAGGTGCCCTGTGGCCCCCCTGCTCCACACGGGCTCGGGAGGTCGGGCAGGGAGGCTGCAGAAAGCAGCCTGGCCCTGCAGCAGCAGGATGGCCGTGCCATGTCCCCTGCGGCCCTAAAGTGACACAGGGCACGTGCTCTCGCCCCAGGTGGAGCGTGTGTGCCCTCCTGTGCTGCATGGTGCTGCTGGTGGTCGTCTGCAATGGCTTCGGGCTGCTGCTGGGGCCCCTGGGCCTCGAGCCGGCCGCGCTGCCCACCGAGCGGGGCTGCCTCTCCAACGCTGCCGGGAACTTCTTCATGGCGTGAGGAGCTGGGCCGCCGGCTGCTGAGGGTGCACGCGGGAAGGCGGTGCAGAGGCAGGGCAGCCCTGGGGCTGCTGGAGCTCCAAAATGACACTTTGCTGTGGCTTAATGACCTGCCACGATTTGCTATGCAGGTGGTAGATATCAGGGTCAGTCATGGTGCTAGCGGAGAGTGCTCAGGTGGAGATCTTTAGGGCTGCTGATGGCAGAGCAGAGACATGCGGTGAGGACAGGGGGGTCCTAGCACTGGGGTGACCTGGGTTGGTGGGGGCTGGTGGTGAGCTCTCCATGTCCGTCCCAACGTGGGGGTGCAGGGCGGCTCCCAGAGCTAGCACTGGTGCTCGAGCATGGGCCTCTGGGCACTGATGATGTCTCTGTCCTGGCAGAGGGGTTGGCTTCAGCTTCATCTTCTCTTGGCTGCTGATGCTGATGGTGCTGGTCCCCTTCGTGCTGGGGGGCAACATCTACATGCTCTTCTGCCAGTCCCTGCGTGACCAGCAGCTCTTTGAGGTGAGGTGGCTGCCCTTTCCTGAGCGATGGGAGACTTGTCTGAGGGTGGCCAGCTGAGATGAAACTGTGCTGGCCATTAGAGACACCTTCCCCAGATGTCCATGTGTGGATGGAGGAGCTCACATGGGGCAGGGCATGAAGTCTAATTTCTCTCTCCCTTTCCTTGCTCTCAGCTCCTGGATACCCCCGGGCTGATCCCTGACTTCAACCTGTCGCAGGTGCTGGGTGAGGACAGCACCAACATCTCAGAGCTGTACAGGTGGGTCCCGGCCCTGGACATCTCATCTTTGCAGAGAAATGTGGCCACTCGGGGCTACCGGGTGCTCACCAGGCTGGGGGAGCTCCTGCGGCCTGTCCTGGCCGCAGGGCTGGCACGAGGGGCGATGCACCCTGCGCACGCAGTTGTGCTCCCGGGAGGGCTGCGCGTCAGCCCAGTGCCCCTTCCCACAGGCAGTGCCAGGACAACGCTGCCCTGTGGCAAGCGCTGCGCCTCAACCAGCGGGTCTCCCTGGACGAGCTCTTCAACATCTCTCAGGTGGGCACGGGGGGCGGCAGTGCTGGAGGTGCCCGGCTGGCACCGGGGCCTGCGTCACGTTGCTCCTCGCGGCTCCGCTCCCGCAGTACACCGCAGAGATCTCCACGGCCTTTGAGAAGGTGAACATCACCCTGAGCCCCATCTCCCTGCTCAACCAGAGCCAGAAGGAGCTGCTGCTGGAGGCCAGCAGCCTGGGGCAGCCGCCTGACTTCGCGCACAGCCTAGCGCAGGTGGGCACGGAGGGGCGCTGGGGCAGCCCTGCTTGGGCAGAGCAGATCCTGGGGGCCAGTCTGGAGGCCACCCTGCACCAGGCTCCCAGCTCTGCTCTCCATGCCACCTTCTGGGGCAACGGGCCACCTCCTCCTGTGCCGGGCAGCTCCTGGCTCCTCTCTGCACCTGGGTAAAGCTCCTCTCTTTGCCCTGTCTCCTGGGTTCATGGGTGTCTCTTTGCCTTCTCCAGCTGAATCAGAACGTGACTCGTGGAAGCCTCCTGGATCTGGCTGCAGAACTGGAGCTTCTGGCAGTGGAAGTGGTGAGAGATCAGATCCCCCAGGCCTGCATCCGCCCTGTCCCCAAAGCCACTGCTCCATCTCCTCTGGTGGCAGAGGAGTTCCTCTCCTCCCGCAATGGGCCCTGCTGCCTGGAGCAGGCAGGGTGTCCGCTATGGGCGTCCTGGCAGCCCCCAGCCCAGAGCCTAGGCTCCCTCTGTGCCCCGGAGCTGCCGTGGGGACCCCTGTGGAGGGACAGGACCCTGTGCCAGGGTGGGCACTGCTGAGAGTGACCCCTGCAGGGTGGAGATACAAAGCAGGAGCTGGAGGATGAAGCCAGGCTGCTGAGGGAGCTGGCTGGGGAGATGAACGCGAGCTTGCCCAGCCTGCTGGTGAGTGATGCTGGGGCACTGGCTTGGGGTCCCCTCTGAATTGCCGAGGGTGTCCCCGTGCCTGAGCCTCTCACTCCGTCCCCAGCGAAGCCTCAAGGAAAACATCTACATCGTGGAGCGCCAGGCCAGCGGGCTGCAGGTGAGCGTGCCCTGCATCCCCAGGGCAAACTGCAGGGACTGCTGATTCAGGATGTCCTGAGCAGGCACCCATGGGTGCCCTGCTCACGAGGGGCAAGGACAGTGTGTAAGGCTGGGAGCGAGCGCGGGGCACTGGCAGGGCTGGGGGATGCAACCACACTGAGAGCAGCCCCGCGCAGGTGCAGACCAACACCACACTGCAGAGGGTCGAGCAAACACAGGCCTTGCTGCAGAGGGAGACGGCCACCATCGTCAAGAACGTGAGCTTGCCATGTCCGCCCCGAGGGGTACCTTGTCCTGCCCCGTGATGCTGCCCGCGCGGGGCACGGCGTGGGCTGGGGCACAACGTGTGCCCTCTCTGCCTGCCCCCAGGAGACGCGAGCCTTCCTGGAGCAGCTACTGGGCTTCTTCGAGACCTACGTGGCCTGGGCCAAGAGCAGCGTGAGTGAGGCGGGGGTGAGGGGCGCCGGGCAGGCTCAGGAGCCCTGACGTGTCCTGTCCCCGCCGTGTCCCCAGCTGACGAGAGACGTGGCGCGTTGTAAGCCTGTGGCACAGACTGTGGACAGCGTGGAGGCCATGGCCTGTGACTACATCCTGGACTCTGTGGTGAGGGGGCACCGGTGTTGGGGCGGCACCCGGGTCCTCTGATACCCTGGGCAAGTGCACAGCATCTCCTCTGGTGCACGGCCTTGGGCCCTTATGGCTCTCCCTCGTGCCCAGAACGCCTTCTGGTTCAGCCTGGGCTGGTGCACCTTCCTGCTGCTGCCCAGCATCGTCCTCGCCGTGCGGCTCGCCAAGTTTTACAGACGGATGGAAGTCGCTGATGTCTACGGGTGAGCAGCCTTGACCGCGTGCGGGTCTGGGGTCTCCCTGCTGCTTGCCGCAGGCTTTGGGGGGCCTCCCGGGGGTGCAAAGGGACCTGGGGTTGCTCGGGACCCTCAACTGGCTCTCGCCTCTGCTTTGCAACCGCCTTCAGCCTGGGGATCCCAACACGGACACAGCTGGATATTGTGCAGATGAGGCAGCCCCATGTGCTTGGCATCACTGCCACGAGGGTGCACTGCTCACCCACCGTCCCTGCCGCCACCAGCACCCCTGGGGCCCCATCTGTCCCTCCTGGCAGTACAGCAGCCTCCCGTTCCATGCTTTGGTGCCACATGCCACCCCACTGAGGGCACCCTCGTGCCTCCTGCCTGCAGCCGCCCAGGGACACAGGATTTGTAGGCCCCGGCGCCCAGGGCAGCCCCATCCTCCCCAGGCCTACACTGCTCATCCTGCCTCCCTCCCCGCTCTCCCTCGCGGGCACATTGCTCCCAGCTGGCAGCTGCCTGCAGTCCTGGCACGCTCGGGGCAGCGCGGCGCTTCCCCCACCCCCAGGCCCTGGTGCCTTTTGCTTCCTCTCGCCGTTCCCATCTCTAGTGGATGTGGCGGCCGGAAATGTGGACTCAGTGGCCTGGGAGACCTGAGGGAACTGAAGTCAGGCCGAGAGCCAGCGAAGGCACCCGGTCCTCACGGGGCCCGCTTGGAGCAGCAACGCTCCCTGGGCGGCTGAGCCCACAGGGGCTGCGGGAGCCCGTGGCCTGTGTCCTCCAGGATGGCCCAGGCCTGCGGGGGTGGGCAGGAGCAGTGGCCGCCCCAAAGGTGTGTTCTGCCCCACTGATGCTCTCCCTTCTCTTTCCTTTCCGCCAGGAGCCAACTCTTGGAGATGTGAGTAGCAGTGGCAGGTCCCTGTGCAGGGCTGGGGGGACACATACGGAGGGTGAGGAGGAGCACCGAGTGGGCCAGGACGTGTGGGTGCCAGGACCTGTTCAAAGAGCCCCTGTTGTCTCCCCACATCCCTCTTGGGGTGCTGCCCAGCACCCCCTTTTCTGCAGGGCAGGGCTAGAGTGGTGGGTTGTCATCTGGCTTCCCCAGCACATTCTGGACTGCTCCCTGCTCCCCACTGCAGCGGGAGGATGACACATGTAACCTATTTTTGCAGGGCACCCACGCTGAACTCATTCCAAATTCCCCGGGTGGCTCCAAGGAAGTAGCCGCCCTCACCTGTGGTGCGGACACGGAGGAGACCGCGCGGCTCCGGCTGGCTGGACGTGACTGCTCCATCTGCAGCCCCCCTGCCCTGGGGGCTGGGGAGCAGGCTGGAACCCGCCCAGCCGAAACCTCCTCCCCTTTTTCTGGTAGTTGACAGCATGCTGGGGCTGTGTGACAGGTCAGTGGCCCATGCAGGTGGTCCCACTAAACCACACAGTGTTCGCAAGGGCAATGCCTGGGTCTGCACATGGAGGGTCTGCCCCTCATGCTGCCTGGCATGGGTTTTCCGCCCCAGCCCTCACCCTCCTGGGGAGGGAAAAGTAGGGAGCAGCTATTTCCCATCATGGTTCATCCTATCCCCGTGGTGCTGCGGGCATGGACACGCAGTGCTGGGATGGCAGTGCTCATTGCCAGCCCCACACCGGGCCACGTGGGCCTAGCGCGGCTTGTGCTGCTGTGGCATGTGCTGCCAGCCAGTGGCAACCTTCTTACTGAGGCTCTTTGCTCTACGGACAGTGTGACTATTTATTTTTGAGTGGAGTCTGACTCTTTCTAATGCTGTGACTTTTCTGGTGTCAAAAAAATAAAAGGCATGTGCATATGTGTGTGCAGGAAGCGCCTGGTGACTCTTTTGGCCGCGTTGGCGAAGGGCACAGGTGTGTGGGCAGAGGAGAGGTAGGCAGAGAGCAGCTGAGGGGCTGTGAAGGTGACGTGGTGGCAGGCAGGTCACAGGGGAGGTTTTTCCCCTGCTTGGGCCAGGGGCCTTGCACCTCTATCCCTGCTTGCACTGTTGGCTCAGAGTGAGGGCTCTGGCCATGGTGAGAAAGTCTGGAGCTGGGATGTGCAGGGGTTGCAAGAAGATTCTGGCTGCTCTGCTTGCAGAGAGCCTGCTGAAAAGGCTCTGTGCGTCCCGGGACAGGGGGTGACAGCAGCAGCATTGGCAGCCCTGGCAGCATTGGTAAGGGTTTCCTTTCTCTGGGCAGCCCTGTGCAGCACTGTGCCTGCAGCTCCAGCTGTCCTGTGGTGACACCTGCTCCCTTGGGAGAGGGGCTGGGATGAGGCTGCCTGAAGCTGGGCCCAATGGTGAGTCATGGTGGATGCTTCTCCCCGAGGAAGTGCTGCCACGAGCCTGCTGCCTATCCACGGTGTCCCCAGTGCTCCAGCACTTCCCTGTGGCCTTGAGCTGCAAAATCTTATTGCCCTCCTGCCTGCCTGGCACAAGGGTCGGACAGTGCCGCTGCAGCGAGGGTTGCAGAACCCCAGCCAGGCACAGGCAGCACCACCTGAGCAGGTGCAGGGCTGTGTGGCCGTTAAGGACAAGGTGTCAGGCTCACAGCACCAGCGAGGGTCTCGGCAAGCTGGGCACAGGAGAAAGCAGGCTTAGAGACTTGCCCAGCACGCTGCCCTCTGAGGCAAGGGGCACAGGGCAGGAGCCCGGCGCACCATGGCCTGGCTATGGCACCTGGGGCAGCCAATGAGGGTCGTGGGTGTCAGTGATGCCAGGCAAGAGAGACTCTGCTGCTGCCCCACTGCCTGGGCAGATGTCACTGCTGCACGTGCTGGGACCCCATGCCAGGACGCTCAGGGACACAGGTACGTCTCGCCTGCAGGCCTCCAGCAAGCTCAGGAGCTGCTTTTGGTGCAGCCCTTGTGGCCAGGGTGGCTGCAGGCTTTGCTATTGTGCTGCTCCTTGCCTTGAGCACTGCGGCCGTCCCCAAGGCCGGCTGAGGCGCGGGAGGTGTACGTGAGCAGCTCGACTCGTTTCCTTCGTTGGAAATCCAAGCCTTATCAGCCCGCGTGCTGAGGCTGAGCCGACCAGCTCGCCCTCCGCGAAGTACGTCTGCTTTATCGCTTTTTCCATTTGCTTTCAGATCTGATCTGTTTTCTTCCTCCTGGAGTTATCTGAAGTCGCGCTGCCCTGGCCTCCTGCTATCTGCCCACAGCACCCGTCCCGCCCGCAGAGACCCCGTCCCTCCTCTCTCCCGCTCCAGCCGCTGCTGGGGCGGCCCAGCCCTGCTCCTGCAGGGCCACCCTCCCTTTTTGTCCCTCATCGAGGCCTTTCCCAGCCCCCTTGGGAAGTGTTTGGCTCAGTTTTGTCTCCCCTAGCTTCGAGTCCCACCTCACGCCGTTAACCCTCTGCTTTTAGCTGCTCCCAGAGGCCTCAACCTCAGAGCTGTGGTAGCGCTTTCCCCTCTTTGGTCTGTGCTGGGTCGAGGTCCCCATCCCGAGCCCAGACTGTCCCTGCCACAGAGCGTCTTCCACTTCCTCCTCACCTGCTGCGGCTTGAGGACAGGGGCCTGTGCAGGGCGGCCACAGGCTTCAGTTCCTGCTGCCTTGCACAGCCGCCTCCTGCTCAGCTCCCCTCCTTCCTCCTGTGCTACCTGTGGCCAAGGCCTCCCCTTCACCAGAGAGCCGGCGCTGAGGCAGGGCGCTCCAGGGATTTCCTGCACGGAGGCAGAAAGCCTGGGGGAGGTGGCCTTCCCTCCCCTCTCGACCCTCCCAGCTTGGCTGCCTCCTAACCCGGCTCCCGCAGGGAAATGCTTCCCTCTCATAAATCACTGGTGGCCTCTGGCAGGGCAGAGGGCAGCTCCCAGGGCCTTTTTTCGCTTCAGAAGGTGCCTGGCCCCGTCACCCACCCCTCAGGCGGGTGCAGAGCCCAGGGCTGGGAGGTGGCCGAGCGCGGCTCAGCGGCAGGGGCAGCAGCTGCTCTCTGCAGAGGCGCCCCGGGCTGGTTGCCAAGTGCGGCCCCGCCAGCTCCCCCTCCACACCGGGCTCCCCGGCTCACGTGAGCGGCAGCTGGAGACGCCACGTCCCTCGCGTGGCAGCGCCCGCGGCCCCGGCGCAGGGCCCGCCGCGAGGAAGGCTTCCCCTGCGGCCGGCCCTCTCCTGGTGCACGGCGGCCGCAGTTCCTCTTCCCCCGAGCTTGCTGCACCACGGGACTTTCTGGCGCCAAGCCGCGCTCTGCGGAAGGCGTTAGCACAACAGCACTGTGACCGCCTGGACTTCCTCTGGCAGCAGCTCTGCCCAATGAGCCCAAGGCTCCAGGCTCCCCCAGGGGCAGGCCCAATGCTCCCTGCTCCTGGTTTTCCAGCCCAGAGCAAAGGGACAAGGTGCAGCTCTGCAGAAAAACCTTCCCTTCCCCAGCCGAGCCTTCCCCAAGGAGCAACGCGCCCGGACACTGCCAGGAAGGCCCTAAGGTTGCCACCCCCAGCCACACTACACAGATAGGTCTCCTCGCTGCCAGCGACGCAAAGGACCCTGACTCGCCTTTGCCAAACTGTGCATTGCTTTAGGCACCTTTATTTTCAAAATGAGCACGTCAGCTGTACTTAAACTCCCCTCAAGAGGACTAATGCAGGTCCCGTCCCAGCTCTATGTGACTGGCAAGACAAGAAACGGCTCCTCTGGGCAGCAGGGACCTTCACACCGTGGCCCCGTGCAGAGGCAAAGCCACAGCCAGGTCTCTCCCCCCAGGGAGGCAGGAAAAGGCAGTGAGTCCTGGGGAGAGGCTGGAACCTGCATCTTCCCGCACGACGACTCTCACGTTACACTGACTTTGCAAACAGAGGCACAATATGAGCCAGAAAACCCTGACAAAGCCCCTTTGTGCACAAAGGGCAAAGGTAGAAGAGATGGGAGCAGAGGGCCCAGGCAGCCTGCAGCACAATCTGAGCTTCCACAAAGGAAGAGGAGAGGCAGGGCGAGCCCCAAGCCTGCACAGGCTGCTGCCAGGTTCTCCACTCAGAAGGGTTTGGGTACGGGCTGGGATAGAAAGATAAGGGAATTAGGCTGCTCTCTTTAGCTAAGTAGCTGTAATCAGTCACAGCTACAGGATTGATCCCAGAGGAATCACAGCGAGACAGCGCGCGGAGGGCTGCAGCTGCCAGCACGTATGCTGGGACATCAGCACCACGGAGCTGAACGTGGCTCCACGCTGACAGTCAGCAACTAACAACCCAGAACAGCAGGACTGGGTGGCCTCACTGAAAAACAAAGAAAAAAAAAAATTCCTACCCCGTCTCTTCCCGACAGGGCTTAGAGGCACCACCCCACGCACTGAGCAGGGAATCAGCTGGGGAGCCTGTGTCTCTGCCTGTCCCTCCACCACCTCTTCTACAGAATCAGGAAAGGAAAAGTGAAGTTATAAAGGAGCCAAGCAAATAAAAGACAAGGTGCTTTAGGCCAGGAGACGTTCTTAGTCCTGCGGTGGGGCCAGTGCTTTCATCTGCAAACGCACCAGCATTTGCTCCTCCAGTGGCGCACAGGTAATTGCACTTGCGGGATGTAACCCCCTTGCCATGGCTGTGCCAGGGATGTGCCACCCCCCTCGCCCCATGGACTTCTGAGAGGCTGCCCTGGGGAGGCCCTCAAAAGGAGCTGGTTTCTGTACTCCCAGGCAGCGCAGGACTCCCCACGGGGCATGAGGCTCTCCTCTCCGCGTGCAGCCAGTGGTGCTTCCCCATTTCACACAGTGTCACCCTGCGCCAGTGCTGAGGGAGAGGAAGTCCTTGGCACGGGTGGCTGAGAGGCATCATCAGCCGCTGCCTGGGGAGGGCTCCTGTGCTCCCGGCGTGGGGTGGGCGGCGGGAAGGTGGGACTCTGCAGAGCGTCCCCGTACACCTCGTCCTGCACGCTGGGGCGCTGCACGACCCTTTGCAGGAGCGGTTTGAGCAGGCCCACAGTCAGCTGCCCCCCCTCACTTGAGAAGGGCACTGCTTCCTCCTGGGAGGCGGGCAGGTGCTGCAGGATCACGGTGAGGATGTCTGAGGCGGTCAGCTCAGCGGGGCACAGCGGCCACAGCCTGTCCAGATACGGGTCCAGCTCTCGGTGCTGGGCAAACTCTGCCAGCAGCGTGGTGAATATCTCCTTGTTGAGCAAGGGGCTGACCTTGGAGAACTTCTCGGCGACCTCCACCACCCGCTGCCAGCGCTTCAGCTGGATGAGGAGGCGCACGGCTTGCAGCACAGCCTTAGGCCTCTTGCTGCAGAGCAGCAGCTCAAGCTCCAACTCATCATCCGCCTCGCTGCGCTTGCTCTTCCGCGCCAGGACGCCCAGCGCTCTCTTGTACAGGGGCACCCGGCCCTCTGGGCCCTCCTTGCTGCTGTATGCCCAAGAGATGCTCACGTACTCCTGCGTCAGCTCAACAAAACTGGGCAGCCACTTGGGTTTGAACCTCAGCAAGGACGTGCAGATGAGCTCAAAGAGCGGGACCACCCCATTCAGACCCACCTCGTCCTGTTGTGGCCCCCCCACGACCTTCTTCCACACCTCCGGGGTGGCCCTGGCTACCAAGTGGCCGTCCCCATTCTGCTGCAACTGCAGGCAGCCCCTTGTGGCCTTCCAGGCAGCCTTGGGGAAGGAGGTGAAGACAGAGTTCAGATAGGCCAAGTTATCCTTGTCAATGTCAGAGTGGAGAACACGGCTGATCTCCTGCTCCACCAGTTCCTCACAGTAGCTTTCCACCTCAGTCTCTGGGGCACCCACCACACAGGTCTTGAGGAGCTCCAGGCTCAGGTAGCTCTGCAGCTCCTGGCTCATTGTGTTCAACAGCTTGGCGTAAGTGTCCTGGAGGCCTTGGCCTGGCTTCTCCTTCTGGCGGAGGCTGTGCTGTAGGATGGCAGCAAGGGCCACGGGAGCCTGGAAGGTGCCACCTTTCTTCAGCTTCTCCACTGTCAGCTTGGAGCTGCTGAGGCTCCTCCTCTGGTAGTATCTGCAGGCCTCCTCAAACACCATCTCCACGAGGCACGGTTCAGGCCTGCTGCTGTCCTCGGGGACAGAGAAGCTGACGCTGTAAATCCCAGTTGGAGTGAGGAGCTGGATGTTGTCCTCCTCTCCTGGGGACTCCAGGAAATGCACTGTTTTCATGTTGAGGATTTTCTTTTCTATGAGCCTTCCACTGTTCTGGTCAATGAGGTACAGAACCCCTGCAGACACGCAGGCCAGCACATTACCAAAAGTCTTCAGCTGCACATCATCACCTTGGGCCAAAGGGCCTCCCTCTAGGTCAAAGACATGCCTTTGTGTCCCGTCTGGCTCTACCACATTCACAGTGCCCTGTGTGCTCACCAGCAGCAGCCCCCCATGGTTGGACAGGGCAGAGGTGTGAATGTCCAGAGGCGCCAGGGTCGAGAGAAGACCCACAAAGCCAAGCAGGAGCTTCCTGAAGTCGGATTCACTGCTGGAGCGCATCACCTTGCTGAGGACGAAGCCCGCGGAGGGGGCAGTGACGGTGAGCCTTGCCTCCTCGGCGTGCCAGACGAGCAGGAACTTGGAGACGGTGGCAAAGTCGCTCGCGGCGGGCACCAGGAAGATGTGCCGGGGGGATGCGAGGAGCTGGTACTCGGGGCTGTTGTGCAGGACTATGGTGACGGCGCCGAGGCGCACGCTCTGCTCGCCCACCTCCAGCGCGCGGCTGCACACGCAGAACCTGAAGGCGCCCTTGCTCGCGCCCGAGGGGGCCCCGAGCGGCGGCCGCTCCTCGCACCACACCAGGCTGGCGCCCTGGG